TCCTGTAGTTATATGCGATTCGACAGGTACTATGTGATGGGTTTTTAGATGCTGGTCTCGAATTTGCTTTCCAGATAGGCATCGATTTATGAACGGTGTTATCAGTGTTTTTCTGCGTAGTTCAACAATGGGGAGTCGGCCTCAGCAGTAGCGGCCTCGAAACGATGCGCGTTGCATACTGTGTGCTGGAGGGTCTAGTGGTTAGAGCGAGTGGCTTTAGAATGGACGTTGGTGATTCCGGACCGGTCATTAATGATATCCCTTTTTCACGCAGGGGCTCATCCAGTAAGGGGGCATGTGCTACAGTTTTGCCGGCTACAGAAATTCCAATTTTTGCAAGGGGAGGGAATCCCCGGGTGCGTGAACCATTTCGCTTAAACTTTTACACCCACCCCGGAGCTTCCCTCCCTGAAAAAAGTGGATTACTTCATGCAATATGAACTGTCGCACCACATGCCCCTCCCCCCCCCCCTTACTGGCGGCGCACGTAGCCCTAAAGTTATCTTATCATAGGCGCGGCGACCTTTCGTATTTTTTTAAATGCTAAGAGAATCTTGGAATTATGCCTTGGAATTAATCTTGGAATCTCGGAACTGGAAACGGGTGAAGATTTTTTTAAATGGCTGGAAGGCAATCCAGCCATTTAAGAATTCCATGATAGCTTGATGGATAGGTGAACGGACTATCCCACATTTTCAATGTTAGGTCAAACCATTGATTTGGCTGGGAATTAGTTCGACGAAGTACTGTTGGTTTTCCAAATACCACACCCACAGCGAAGGCGTCTGGCTATGAGCGCAGTGTACTATAATTAGCAAATAATGCCCAAATTTGTTGGTAGCCATCGCAAGCTTTGCTTGGGTAAGTGTAGGCAAGCGTCGATCACGTAACATGATTGGGATTTCAAACCATGTTGCCGCAAATGCGAAATAGTGAATTTGTCAAGAAATTAATCCTAAAACGTCGTGCCTGTTAGCCAGGGTTACTACCGCTACGTTCGTTCATAATTAAGTAAATGCGTCAAGGTGAGCGTTTGGTAGATTTGAAAAACGGATTTGAGATCAGTGTCCAAACCGCATCCTATGGTGTGTGTATCATTGCCTATGATGATTTTGACTTGGGATTCTTCCTGGTTAACGAAACATTGAGGAGATCTGTTATGAAGTGAGTCAGTATTCAGCCAGTGGATACATGGGCAATCGCTCCTCAAAAAAAATTCGCTCGCATGTGTCCAAACATGGAAGCCGATATAATGAAACAGTTACAGATTCAACTGGGTCAAAGCTTACTGCCCTTCGTCGTTATGTCCCTCTCGAGCAGCTATGCTTAACTGGAGTTCAGCTTCGTTAGAGTCTCTACAGTCGGACTGGTTTATAGCAGCTGCTCTCCAAATAAATACTCGTCTTCGTACTACTAGGTTAGCTCAACATTTCGAATTCTTTTCTTTTTTGAAAACTCACAACAAATTTTTTCAGATTATCACTGGCCGCTATAACACGGGTTGACCTTTCATGTAATCGACTTACAGTTTTCCCATCGATTCTTTTTCAGATGCCTTCTCTCAGGTTAGCGTAGCATTGTGATGTTCTTTAGCTCATGTGCTACCACTCATTGATATTTTAGATCTCTTAATCTTGCCGAAAATCTCATTACTACTATTGATATGCCCGGTTTTTATGTTACCTCTACGTCGCTAGAGATTCTAAATCTCAAACAAAATCGACTGGAGTCGATTTCCCCTCAGGCACGTTATCAAAGATTATTATTATTATTATTTTCTTTGGTTTCCGTTGAACAGTTTCAGATAGACATCTTTCAGTTTCTGTCCTCATTGCCTCAGCTAACAACACTCGACATTTCTCGAAATTGCCTAAATCAACTACCGGAATTTATCTGGCTGTGCCCTTCATTAAAAGAAATCAATGCTGCTTCTAATCATCTGGCATCACTTCCTATGGTTGGCAGCGCTGCTAGAATAGGCCGGATTGCTCGGGGAACTCAGCATCCTTCAACCCCCACCAGTCCTACTAAGGCTGAGTCAAGTAGGCGCTTCGTTTTAATCTTATTTAGTGTTAAATTTATCCTAACCCAGAACGAATTTTCATGAAATGAATTGTTTACTCTTCCAGTTAGTATCAGCGATGCCATTGATGATCCTTCGAATGTCTTCAGGAAGCCGTTGATTAGGCAGAATGTATGGCAATCTGTGATCAATTTATCTAAGGTACTTTATTATTCGTGTTTGTTCGCAATTTCTTTGTCCTTAGCCACTCCCTTGAAAGTGAAAAGAAGATTGCTTTCAGCCTGTTTGTTTTCAGGTAGATGATGATAGCTTCTTTCCCGATTTCCCCATAACGTCTTCCAGTACGCTTACAACATTGAACCTTTCTGCGAACAGGGTTAGTGTATTTCTTGGAGATATTGCTTGGAGGAGATTATAAGCATGTTTGTTCAAAGAAAAATAGGTTACTTGTCAACTGAAGCGTGCATCTATTCCAGTTCCAAGTCTTCCCCTTTTGCCTTGCGTGTACATGTCCACGTCTGCTATCTCTAAACATGAGCTTTAACCAGCTGGTATCTTTGCCACCAATACAATGTATTCCTGCACACTTACGAAATCTGGACCTTTCTGGCAATTTAATTAGGGTGAGTTTCTTTTTTTTTTTGCAAAACATGAATCTAAAATTAAAAGCGCTGTGGGCAACAATCAAGCGAGCTCCTTTCACTTCGTTTAAACTCCGACTACTTGTGGGATCGGCTCGCCTTTGCACAGACTATCTCTGTGATCAAAACCTGGTCATTTTCTCCCTTTCGTTTCTGTAGCTCTGTAGTATTCTCAGCTCTATCGTTTTTGCATCTTACAGTACCTCGTCAGTATTGGGGGATGAAATATTGCATTTGTTAGTGTTAAGTTCATGACATCGAAAAGCAACGTTGATCTGCTTGTTTTTTTTCACAGGAACCATTCCAATCACCCTCTATCGTCCATACAGTTTGCCATGCTGTGACTCCATCAACAGACTTCAACGACAATGGCAGTTCGTCGGCCGAGGAGTCCTGCTAGGCAAAACCGTTAGTCTTAAATTATGCTGCCAATTAATGCTCACGAATTACGAAGAATCTCTCATTTTAGGGAGTAGATCCAAGTCGGCAGTGCGCTCACAGCGATCGCTCTCTGTTTCTCGGCATCAGCCGGACATCCAATTGGAGGAGGCCTGCCAGCATAAGCAGCATGATACTCTAGAATGGCTGAAGACTCTGAATATTAGCAACAACCAGCTGGAATCAATTCCTATATGTGCGAAGAACAAGGTAGGATTTGAGCAGGTCTTTGACTGCTTCAGATATGGAAGCTTCACTTCATACTTTATAGTCTGTAAATACGACAGAAGAAATCGAGGACTTTCTTTGCTTAAACTTACCATGTTTAGGTGCTTTTTCCGAATCTAAGCGTCTTAGACGCAAGTTCCAACATTATCAAAGTGATCAATGCTGATGTATCGCGATTGAGCAGCTTGTCGGTTTTGAATCTAACAGGAAACAAAGGAATCCAGACATTGCCTCCAGAGCTTGGAATGTTATCACGGCAAGTTCTTGTCAGTCATTGTGCATGTTTGCGCCCTCTTATCCAGCTTCTGCACATAGATGGAATAATATTATGCTAGGAATAAAGTCGGAATCGTTGCAGGTTATGGTCTCTTTCTTTGAAAGGCTGT